CAGTTGAGCAGCATAACCTTCTTTTCCCTTCTCCCTCATGAGTAATCTAAGCTTTTCATTTCAACCACTCCCACAATTCCACATCCAAATATACAAATTAAGAGCAAGCATAGACTACTCCACCCTTTGGATCTGCTCCACTATTTAATAAGATCATGACTGACTCGGTTAATGACTTTTCACCCTCTTGCTCGTTAAGAGTCTATCTATTCTCACTACTTACTTGTGTAATGGTGAGACTTCTGAATTCCCCATCGGATTTCTTGGTGAAATATCTTATATTGCTGGCCTCTAGTTATGTTCTTCCATACAGATGAAAACACCAGTCTTACCTATCCAGTTACCAGAAACTTCCTGTGTGGGGTGTCTTGCTGTTCCAATACCATCATCTCTGGAGATCCCCAGGATCTATGCTTGGCCTCTCCAATTTCTTACCTTGATTTTATCTATAATCAATGTCACAATTCACATCAGATTCCTCCGTATCCTGATGATACCCTGTTCTACCTCTTCGTGACAGATTTGATCTAGAATTGGATGAACTGAAACTTCAACCAATTAAACCTTAGGAAGGCCAAAGCCATCACCTTCAGTACCTGCTACAAACTCTGTTCCTAACCACCAAAACGTGCCTCCCTTGCCAAGTCTCTGACTGAAGTAGATTGTTTGCGATCTCAGCATTCTGTTTGTCCCTGTAATGAGCTGCTAAGCTGATATCCTCCGCATCAACAGGACAACCTACTTCAACCTTCACAAGAAAATTGTCATCTGGACTTCTGTTAGCTCCAGGCTGGACTACTCTAACAGGCTTACAGTCAGCATCCCATCTTCCATCATTTATGCACTTAAATCCTATCATTTACTCTGCTGCCCAGTCCTAATGTGCACTAAATCCCATTGATCAAACATCCAAGCTAGCTGACCTGCACTGGTTTCCAGTACACCAATATGTTGATGTTAACATTGACAAGTTCCTGTTCAGATCCCTCTATGGCATCACCCCACCCGCCATCCTCCAGCCCCACAAACTTCCACAAACATCACAATCCTCCTAAATTTTACCACATGCATGCATTCCCATTCCAGCACTGTTGATGGTCATGCCATCAGCCTCTAAAGCTCTTATATTCCTTCCCTAAACCTCTCCATCTTTGTCTCTTCCTTTGAGATGTTTCTTAAAACCCTTTGGCCAAGTTTTTTTTTGGCTACATGACATCAATTTTGATCAGAATACACTTCTGCAAAGTTTCTTGGGATTTTTTACTCTGTTAAATGCAAACTGTTGTTCCAAATGATAAATCCCATTTTTTTATGGTGCTAGAAATTTGCAGTGAAATATTAAGAAAGAAAAACTAAAAACAAGGAGTCCGGCTTGAAGGAAACTCTCCTAAAAGATACACCAAACATGTCAGAACGCTTTTGATGGATGGAAACTCAGCAGGTGGTGGGTGAAAATGTCAGTCATAAATCTAAATAATTGTGTCAGTAATTAATTTAAGAATTCTGGCTATTAACAAATATCCCTCTGGCGATGACTACATTGCATTTCATCTCAGACAAGTCTCCACCAACCTGATTCAGTAGGTAAAAGGCCAGATCCTCTTCTGTAAATTCGACCATTTCAGTCAGAGCTCTTCTGCTCTCCCTCTGCTATTCCGGTTATTCAAATATAAACTCCGATTGTGTTCTTGTGCTTAAATCCCCGTACTCCCACTATCTGTTCATTCGCTGACTGTTCCTTTAGAAAAAAAAGTCTCAAGCTGTTACAACTTCTCACGCCCGTTTTCCTATTTCTATTTAATTGTAGAGTCCTCTGTAATATTGCAGTGATATGGAATTGCTCTGTAATTACAATCACAATTATTTCCCCCCTCTCACAATTTTGGAGTTTTCCCTATCTCCTTCATCTATTCCTGCAACAGAAAAACAAAAGGCTCTATGACTTTTTCTAGTATTTTCTCCAGTGTCTGACTTGAGCCCGCTACGCTTCATCTCTTCGTTTGAGTCTTTTTTTTTTCGCCGCTATTTTTATACTTTTCACCGCTTCTCTTCATAAATCCCTCCTTGACCTTTTCTTTCTTTCCAACTTGTTTTCTACATTTGACGCTCCCTCCAATTTATTATTTCCCACCAATGTATTACTGTTTCCCTCTATTGATTCTAAATTTTGGCCTTCTCCATTTCTTATCATTAAATTTGTTAGTATACTTTTTTCACTTCCACTTTGTAAGACATCCTCTTAATTTATTATGGTGATCCTTCTCCCTTTTTCATGATCAAACTTTCTCTAGCTTCCAGCTTTTCACTGCTTAATTGTCCCTATTTAGTTATACAAGTCGGTCAAATGCAGATTTACCGTAAACAGTGTAGATAGCAACTATTCTCTGCCGCTACTCGAACACCCACAAATAAAAAAGACTCCAGCCTCTCCAACTGCAATCGCTTCACATATTTCACTTCCTTGTCTATTAAGTTCGACGAGGTCCTAGCGCCGGACGAAACTTTCGAACCAGTCCCCGAGCTAGAGACAGTCAACAGGAAATGTCCATCCCGGCTGTGACTAGATGCAGATTTAGACCAGACCAGTATTAAAGTGTTGAAACGTTCAGATTTGATTTTAATGCTTTTGTAGAAGAATATAGAATAATTTTCAAACAATTAAAATCCTTCTCCTTAGAAATATTAGAAGGGGGTAGCGAGGTACTCGAGGTGTGGTTCAGCTCAAAAAGCTAGAAATTGCAAAAATGGGTGGTGAAATATCTAGCTGAGGATAGTGACAGAAAAATTAATTTGAGAGGCACAGAATGACAATTCCAGCAGAAAAAAAGAGCAAAGAGAGTACCGGGAAAGGGAAAACTAGAGAGAAGTGAAGAGCTGTGGGAAAGGAAAGAGAGAATTCTAGAAAAGGCAGGGAGCAAAGGGAGGTCAAATTGAAACAGCTTGAATTAAGAGAGAATCTCAATGAAACTCTGGTGAGGGAACCACATCTAACACAAGCTTAAGAGCTGAAGTATTCTTCTGCACTGGTTCAATCTCTCAATTGGATGAGGAAGAGATGAATGCATTTTGATCTCTAATACAGCACTTAAAGTGGCTGATTCAACATTAGATCCCTCTGCTGCCAAGCAGATTGACAGGGAAAGGTTACAAAAATTTGCTTCATCTTGCCTGAGGAAAGTGCCACTGACTATGAGGAATCAAAGGGACTGTTTTAAGTGCATATCAGTTATAGCTGGAAGTGTACTGCCAAAAGTTCCACAGGCCCAGGAAACATCCTGATTAGGTATACCTGGAATTTGAAGGGCTTAAGCAGCTCACTTTGACCAGTGTGTGTACGGGCACTTAAAATTGAGACTATCTATGAAAACCTTTGTGGTAACTCTTGAAGTTCAAAAACTTAATCTCCTTTCCCTTCCGGATATATGCAGAGGAAGAGACAGGAAGTTATTCTGATTGATGGCAATGACAGGCTGACATGCACAGGTGAGCTGGCATCTGAAAACTTTCACAGACATAAAGAGATAACAGTGAGGTACACACACCTGAGATAAGCTGGAGACAAAAGTGAAGTCAGGCAGAGAAATAGAACTGTCCCTGACTGTTCGAAGAAATTCCTCAGGGTGAGAGACAGGTGGTTAACCACCCAAGTGCTTCCACGAAAGGAAGCCAGCGTGTGTGAAGAAAAGTTATTGTTTCCAGCATTCCAGACTATAGTACTGCAACATTAAAGGTAGTCAGTGTCTGCTCAGATAAATAAATACAAAAAACTAGGGATGCTGGGAATCAGAAACAACAACAGAGTGCTGGAGAAACACAACAGATCAGGTAGCATCTGTGCAGAATGTCTGCTCAGGCTTAACTGTTGACCAAGATAGCTGTCAGGAGTTTGTATTCAAATGGTGACCATTGACTGTTTTAAACAGCCAGAGAGAGAAATTAGCATTCTCTGAAACATTAGGTACTCACGGAACTTACTAGTGGGAAATATAGAAGATTCCAGTGTGTTGATAAAAGATCTCATGGCAAAGAATTTAAAGGTGCCACTGGTTGAAGTTTAAAGCTAAAGAGTTGACTAATTGTGGGTCTAGTAACAGTGCAGGTAGTCCCAAGTTTGCCAATGTCAGGGATAGAAAGATAATTCGGGAACAATTTGGCTGGTCATAAAATATATCCCTCCAACAAGAAAGGACAACTCATGGAGACTGGAAAGGATGAAGACAGCAAGTAGCAGAAACTGAAAGACTTTTAAAATCTCCACAGTGGGTAGAAAAACTTGTGAGGGTTGAATTTATGAAGGGTCAGTTAAATTAAATCAGAGGCAAGTGGTACTCAGAGAGGCTCAAAAGACCAATAGGGGCAGTAAAACCCATGAGGTTTGGGGTGGCTCCCAATGGGTCACTTAAATTAAACAGGGCTGAATACAACTTGGCAGGATTAAAAGGATCAGGACAGAACCCAAAGAAGGTATCCGTAAAAGAGGAGAA